TAGATTGTACACAAGACTTATAGACAAGTACAGCTACAAATATATCATATATAGAGCCGTAAAATAAAAGTTCTTCTTTATTGAAAGTTGTATTCTACTTCTTTCTCACTTTCCTCTGTGTCTTTTGTCAAATCATTTAATTCGGAAATTATGTAAAATTTTACAGATTAGCGTACACATTTTACCTCGTATATGTGCGTATAATTCGCGTCATGCATCTGATTGCGTTAGTTATGGACTCTGTGGGTAGTACATACATATCACATATGTAATATTCTCTTCATTAAATCATCATTAAAAACTATTAAGAGTTCTTCAGAGCATTATACAATATAAATATTGTGAATATTACTGATGGTACATATTAAATCCGACGGATAAAGATGCATCTTCGACCTGTTTATTCTCATTTGAATTTTTCCAAAATATATACTGTATACAATATTTTAATATTATTTCTTATATTTATTTATATTATATATGTATATATATATATATTATATATATATATATATATATATAACTTATGTACACACAATCGTGAGAAAATGTGTGTGTGTGTGTGTGTTGCGGCGCGCATGAACTCATTTCTTTACAAAAACAAGAGATTGAGCAGTACGCGATATAGTTTTACCTTGCGTATAATATATATATATATACCGTAAAAGATACGTCGCTCTTTTTTTTCTTAAAATGTAACTTAATTTTATTTTCCCCTCTCACACTTTGCGATAATAGATTATTAGTGCTCCAGATATTTTGTAAATAATTCTTATCTAAGCACAGAGGTATTCGATTAATCAATTCTTGATTTAATTCACTTAAGACAGTTATTAACCGCTTGTGTCACCTGCAATAACATCTCTTGTACACGTAAAAATATTTACACTGTAGAGTAATCTGTAGTCCAGATTAATAATTAATGATTACGATATTTCAGTAATAGTATTCAGTAGTGAGAGATACGCGAGATCAATGTTTAGGGGGGCTAATCGGCATAGACAATGAATTGTTGATTGTCCACATCTGCAACTTCAACTTGTACGTATTGAGGTTGTTGAAGTTGGATTTGTTGTACTTGTCTCCCAATTGCGTTTCGCGATCTGAAATTGATAAAATGAGACGAGGTATAAGAGAAAAGAGAGATCATTTCGTTGAAATTGTTTTTTTTATCATACTTTAATCAATGCGACAAAAACTCAATCAAAAGTAATAAAACTTACTTGGCCTTCGCGTGGGTTAAAATGTGCGACTTGAGATTGGTAGATTGCGCGAACTTCTTGCTGCATCCGTCGAACGGACAGACATATGGCCGATCGCCCGTGTGAATTCTCACGTGGGTTCGTAGATTAAAGTCGAGGCTAAACCTCTTGCCGCATCCCTCGAATGTACATTGAAAAGGTTTCTCGCCCGTGTGCACCAACTGATGCCTCTTGAGTTTAGAGCTTTCGACAAAGGCCTTACCGCATTCCGCGCACACATGCACACGCGGCCCGTGCGTGTGCAGATGTTTACGCATTGCGCTGTTGTCCCGAAACATCTTTGTGCATCCTTTGTGCGGACATGCGATCGTACGTTCCACACCTTCGACAACAGGCGGCCTGCGGACTTTGACCTTGTGACCAGGTCGCGCAAATTCGGCTAGCTGTTTAGGATCTGAGAGATCCAAGCCCGGCATACCATCCGAAACCGAACTACTAGAATTGAACTTAGCGTTGCTCTTGCCTGTCATGTACTCCGTGTAGTCCGGATCTGGCTCTGGATTCGAGCCTTCATCTGGAACATCCACATCCAGGTCAGGCGCTAATAGGACGCTACCTTTAACAACACAAAGGGAGAGCAATCCAAAACAAGAGCTATAATAATTTTTTTTTTTTTTTTTTTTTTTGAATCTTTTTGCTGAAGCTATATAAATCAACGACTGCTGAGATTCGCTGCGCAACGACTTGCTCGTTTTTTTATCGCTGCGCGCTCAGCTCCGTCCGCTTTGTTTTTTTTTTTTTTTTTTTTTTTGGTTTTTATTTTGTGTGATGAATTGTTGTTTGTGTGACAATAACTGATGACTCTTATATGCATGTTTTTCATATATATATATCAGTTTGTTTTTTTTTTTATTTTTTATTTTACCGATAATTTACTTTCGTATTTGAATTTGCTGAATAAAATTCAAATTTCAGTAAAATCGTTATTAATAAAAGACGCAAACACACAATTCATAAACTTTTTAAAAGATGTGTTTTTGTATATTTACCAATATATTTTGTTAGCATTGCTTTTTTACGAACTTTGATGTCAAATCTATCAAACAATTAAATCTTAATTATAAAATGTTTAATTATTATTTTCATCTCGCATTATGGTTCAAATGTGTTTTACAATTAGGATAAAGGATAATACAGGATGAAACGGGATATCGTTTATGTTACGTATATATTTCGCATTCTTTAATCGAATCGTTTTATTTTTGTCTATTTTACATCGAACTAAAAAAAAAACACAAAAATAAAAATCTCGGCTTATCCTCATACGGAAGATAAAAAAAAAAAAACGGAAAAAGAACATAGAACAATTAAATATTAATTTGACGAAGTTTATCGACGTCGCATCCATCGGAGCGTTTCGTGTTAAAAGCACACCCGGTATACAGAAGCTTACAAAGGAATCTCTCGCACATACATGGAAATAAAAGAGTATTGCTCCGGTGAACTTTATATGCTATAGGTGGAATTGTTTTTTTTTTTTCCAACTGTGTTGGAAAAAAAAAAACAATTCTCGCATCTATTTCTCGCGTGCGTGTGCAGCTGCGTTTCTCGTCCATTTAAATTGTAGAAAAGAAATTTAAATAGAAGCGCATTCTCTCTTTCTCTCTCCGAACACAACAGAATAGAGAACGTGTGGCGCTGCTTGAATGAACGTCCGGTGGCGGTGGTGGCGACGCTTGCTTGCTCGCTCGCTCGCTCGCTCGCTCGCTTGTCCGTCGCGAGTACCGCCATTGCCAAGTGTGTGGACAAGGCGGGCAATTCACCGCGTAAAAGAGGCCATTTTCAAAATATGGCTGCCCCCGTGGCAAGCGTAATGGCGTTCTCACGATCAAAACAAACAACACGGACTGTCAAGCCGGGCGGGCGAACACGCGGCCCGACGATTCTCACATTACTCGATTTATTTTCCGCGGAACGATCGCACGCGCGAGCAACGTCGACGCAGTATCGATCTGTGTTGCCTCGCACCGGAAGTGCGTACACCCGCCCGTGAATACACGGAACGCGATCGTGGAAGAACGGGATTTTATAACAGAGAGAGAGAAAGCTCCTGGCGATGTTATTAGGCGAAAGGACTTTGGATATGGGGGGGTACCGATGGGGGGATAAATAATAGTTCGCGCGTACGAGGAGGATACTCACCGTCGTCCGTGCCGGATGCCCACATCGTTACCGAAAACTCGCCCTCGAGGGTCTTGATTTGCACCTGCTTCTGCTCCCACTTTCTAGCCTTGGTTTCTGTAGACATCTCGCTGAACATCGCGTGATCCGACGCGCGGAAACGCGTCCCGCCGCTCTTTCGCGCCTTCTTAGTGGCTTTGCGCGATGGTCCGGGACTCGATTCAACATAAATGTCGTTCTCGGGCACCGGGATCTGATCGTACACGTTTAGCGGATCCGCGCCAACGATCTCCTCTTGTGTCTGTAGAATGATTTCCTCGCGACCAGGTTCCGGTAATGGCTGCAGCGCTATCATCGGCTGCCCGTCTTCGCTCTCGATCGTTGTCTCCACAGTTTCGCACGGTATCTCCACCGGTATTGTTTCTATCTCCACTTCCTGGATATCCGGTTGTATCTCTACCTCGGTTATTATGTCTGAGGACGCCATATTAATCTCCGGCGGCGACGCCATGTTACGAATCAAAATGGCTGGCTTGGCGACTGGCGGCGGACACGGGATTTAGCGGGGATTCGTGGGGCGTCCGCGTCCACGTGACCCCGACCACGTGATATGTGTTTTAACGCCGACGACCGCCGGGCGGCGCCACCCGTCGACTTCTTTCAACGCCATCTTGGGGGTGTTTCTTTCCCGTGTTGTTTTTTCTTTGTGTTGCGTTTGTCGAATTCGCTGCTGCTGCTGCTGCTCGCGCGTTACTTGCTTCTTCTTCCACGTTACTTCGCGCTTCTCTCTCACCGATGATGATTCAGAACTCTCGATGTTAACTCGTATTTGTTTTCTGAGAAAACTACGGGGATGAGATAAAGAAACGCGACTCTGTGTAGAGGTTAGAAAACACTTGTCGCACCGCAACGATGGATCTGTCAAAAATACCAAACGAGAAGAAATTGTATCTCTGCAAATGGTATTTCCGCGGTACGTGCTAACGATTGTAATTCTTTCAGAATTCGGGTTTTGAACACCAGCTTGCTATAATTTATATTGTTTTATTTATCTGTTGTTATATTTGAATGTATATTATTGTTTTAAACATTATTATTATTGAACTAGTATAATATTGTAGATTTGTATTTACAATTTAATTTTGTTTTCATTAATTATTTAATTGTTTCAGCTGGGTTTGCTCTACTGCCATTTTTATGGGCTGTGAATGCAATTTGGTTCTCAAAAGAGGCATTTGTTGCGCCACCTTATGAAGAACAGAAGCAAATAAAAAAATGTAGGCGTGACAAGTAATTTTCGGATATATATATATATATATATATATTCTTCTCGGTGCTTTTGGAGATTTTTTCTAGGTAGAGATATGCATATCTTATGGTATTTTACGCTTCTTCCAGATGTGATTCTTTCTGGTATAGGAGCGGTTATTTGGACAGCTATCTTATTAGCTTGGATAATTACCTTTCAAGCTCAGAGAGCTGCATGGGGTGAAATTGCTGATTACATCAGCTACATCATTCCCACTGGTATTCCTTGATGATTTTAATAGTCAATAGTTTTTTTTTTTTTATTTTTATTGTTACAATATTTATTATAAAAGTTTTATATATTAAGGACTTACATATAAGTGTACATCACACGTAAGCGTTTCTGCTTCTCTAAAAATATTTTGTATCTAGCACATATTTAAAAAAATTATATTTCTGATACATATGGCGTATATATGTGGATTATTGTTTATGTAACTTATTGTTTATATAATCCTTTATGTTGGAGTTTCAAATGTAAATTTTAAGTCTCTTATACACATAGAAACTTACGTACTAGATTCGGAACAAATAAGAGCAGACAAAGTACTGTCAAAAATATTTATTTCTGTAGATTAAAAAATTTAATATATTTTGCATTCTCAAGTTTCGCTTTTGCACAATGTTTTGAGTCTGTTATATTTACAGATATAATTACATAAAAAAATTTTTATATAATTCTATACGTCAGCTGTAGAGCAGCTTATTTAAAGTCTAAATATGAAGAACTCTTCGTCTCTGTATAAATGATCTCACATCTTTGTAAACTAATCGAGACAAAAACTGAAACGGTTAAATATAATATCATAACATTTATCAATATAAAAGTTCATCTCGTATGTTAACATAAAAATATAAAAAGGGCCTTACCAATAAAGCTAGCAAATCTGCGGACATAAGCATGTAGAACACACTGTGCCATCCGCTCCATCGAGATACTATACCCGCGAGCAACGGGCCAATGGCAGCGCCGATACTACCAGTACCGTCGATGATAGCAGTCACTGTCGCTAAAGCTTTGGAATCATCTCCCAAGCTAGAATGAGTTCCTAATTCAGTTGACACGGCAGTTGTTATCAATGCGTAAGGCCCGTTTACCAATACTCCCGCTATTAGTAATAATATTATGTTCAAACTCAGATCGATGTTGCCTACGTAATCGTATACAAATAACTGTGGAACACAACAATTGTAATTTAAAATATGAGATATGTCAGAGTTCATATTTTTATTTTTTTAATTTAAATTTTTTTTAGTATGAATTTTATTCTTACCGTGGGAAATGCAAGTCCAAACATCGCGACGCACGTCAAGGCGCTCATACCGCTGTAATCGGAGATAACTCCAGCCGCTATAGCTCCCGCTATACCGCCAACATCGAATAATACTGACAAAAGAGCGCTCGTAGTTGCGCCATACGTAGCTGTAAGAAAATGCGCGCATTTTAGAAGAAATTTTATCTATATCACACCGGAGAGAAAAAATCAATTTTTTTATTAATCGATATTAACTTGAAGCGTCGATGTATTTGGGTAACCAGAAGAGGAATGTATAGCTAACAAGTTTTGCGAAAAACAGTGACAAAGAATATTCGATGACACCCGGTATCTTTATAGCTCCCATAAATCCGATTGCGCTGTTGCGAGATGAAGTTGAATTGCTGCGATGTCCCGCTAACATCGGACTAGTCTCGGATCGCCCACTGTTCGGATCCTTTCACGCCAGAACAGATCAAGTAAATTAATGTTTGTTTTTTTTATATACAAATGAAAAATATTATACATTTTACTCTCTTTAATATAAATATACTCTTGGAATTACAAATAATATTATATGCAGCTACAAAATACATGCATTGCGTCATCGTATATTGCAACAATTTGTTGGATCTCGAAATATTCATGTTAAAGTGTTTACTAGAGTTACACATACAGTTTTATAAATTACATATATTACATGTAAGAGATTGGCATGCACTTACTTCGGAAGCAAGTTGGTCACGGTATACACACCGATAGATGACACGCTAAGGGGTACAGCAAATGGTTATTTATCATGGCAGTGTAAACTATCACTCTACTAAAAATAAATAAATTATCCTGATACTTGTATTGCTACATGTGCATACAGAGACCTAGGAAAACTAGAAAAAAAGATAGTAGGTGTACTTTCTAGAAATATTCAAAAGTAAAAGACACATGCTTTTAATTAAATGAACATGCTATTATTTGTGTTAACTAATGAGGTGTTATTTCACAATTCTATGTTCACTTACATCATATCATTTACATAGTGATATCTCAAGAGGCAACGCGTGAACAAGAATAAATATCATTAGCAATACCTAACGAATAACTTACATCTTCGCCTATACTATGAGAATTGTCACCTTCGTCGGCCACGTCATCGTCTGAACTGTTAGTCGCATCGATCTTTCGATATCCGTGAGAAGCAAACGAGCTGTATCCAATGTCGACAGGATTCGGTATTAAGAACAGAAAGATGATGAATCCCACCAGACCCATTATCGCTCCGGGCATCATAAAGCTCAGACTCCAATCAGACTCTAAGTACGCGGTTGCGATTAAACTGCCTAATATATTTCCCAATGACGTGTGAGAGTTCCAGATTCCAAAGATTAAGCCACGTTTGCTCTTTCCAAACCAATTTCCCATAACTGTTACTACACCCGGCCATCCGGAAGTTTGAAATATTCCTCCTATTGCCTGTATAATACAAAAAAAAGACATGAAAGAGAACACATTTTAAATGACTCTAATAACGTAGCAATACTGACCTGTACGAGAACGAAGTACCACAAACTATGAATATTGTATGACCTAGCAATTCCAAATAGGTAACATGATATACCTGATGTAAGCATACCAAGTGAAAGGAAGTATCGCAAATTTACTCTCTCGGCTATAAAACCACTGTACAAATAAACAAAATTTTACCGTTAAAAATGTTCCCATCACTGTAGACAATAACGGAATTATTTGAAAGCACTTACCTGAAAAACATAGCTCCTGCGTATGCAAATAAAAATGCTGAGTCCAGTGTACCAAGTAATGCTTTTGCATCTGCTGTATCTGTAGAACATATATTTTTTGTTTTTTAGTCTTCAGAATATATATATATATATATATATATATAAATAAATAAAATACAAATTGTGAAGTGAATATATCAAAATCATTTTTTTTTTTGTTTTTTTTTATATATCTAGCAAGATTTGTGTTTCTTACCAAATGGAGCCCAGTTGCCTTCTAGGACATTTTTCACTACAGATATTGGCTTTCGAGTCAAATGGTAACAAGTGTACGCTAAATAAGTAAGCACCAGTATTCCTCCTTGATGCCATCTCTTTTGGTTAATAGGGTAACGTTCGAAGCACCTATTATATACATACTGGAAGACTTGTATGCCACATGGCAAATCTCTTGTTGGTCCATTCATATTTTAATACTTTTTTTTGACTTTATTCAATATTTTAACACACACATATATCTTACTATGTGTTCTAATTGTGTTAAATCTCTCAGATCATTATAAATAAAAGTATTGCTCCGTTATTTTAATCTTTGGTTCTAATATGTATACATAAATGTGTATTTTACACGCACAGATCTACAAAATACTTTGTGCTTACATATTTGACACAAAAAATACACAAAGAGAAATGTAAAAATTCTCTATCACAGAGCACAAAACATATGTATAAATATATGTTCAATCAGCTATGGAATACTGACAGATGTATGTGCATGGAAATAAGTATCTACAATCCATTGATGAGTTATTCATAACTATGTAAAAAAATACTGTCAAAATAATATGTCTACACTTTGCCGCACAACGTTATTAATTTTTTCATTTTCATTGATCTTCCTATCCGTTTTTTCACCGATCATTTATCTACTAGAATGACAAGTCCGATCTAGACAAAGAAATGATAAAATATGTTCAAGATTACGCAGCTGTGTGAATCAACGCCTGCAAAAAGAGAGAGAGAGAGAGTAAAATTGATAAAATTTTCGAGAGAATTTGTGTATGTCGCACATAAAAAACTGAATGTCACTCACTTAATTGCAAATAGATTTCCGTGAACACGATAAATGCAATTGTATCTTCTTCAAATTTTTTCGCTTCTTTCGGAATAATCGGAGTTATGATGCGTCCGCGAAACGTGGAATGTTTACGTACGCTACACAGAACAAATTAGTTTGTTTTCTTTCTCTGCACTGGCTGCACCAGTTCACAGTCTATCTTTTTTCTTCTAATATGAATAAAAAAAAGATAGACTGTGAACTGGTGCAGCCAGTGCAGAGAAAGAAAACAAACCTATAATGTTATTACGTGTCGTCAGACTCGTCAGCAGTGGTAGGGGAAATGCGCGAAACGGAGTTTTTGTTTATCCGGTTTCTCTTGATTTATAAACCCAGTATATAGACGTGTTAATCACGTTAATTGTTACGTGACTTTAAGATAAGCATATATTATTATTACATAGAATTAGAAGAGTGTGATGTTAACTACCATAGAACGTTACGTAAGTCAGTCGATTGTAAATTTGAGGTTGTCGTAACCAAGATGGACTTTCTTTAGTTCTCTGTGTGCGTAACACAGCAATGAGAGACTGCATTTGTTATATAGAATATCATATAAAGTGAAGCAATCAGTATCATAGAGAATAATGCCATGAGTGATCTTAAAGTGTATCCTTTTATTTAGAAATGTTTTTTATTCAATCACATGTACACATACTTGTACTAAATATGTATTAAATGTTTAATAGTTATAAACCTTAATATATATTGCATACACAGAAATCTGTCTATACCTTTTCCAAGCTCCAGAGAGGCAGAAGTTGCATATCAAGTACTTCGGGTTGACAAGGAGCCTTCGAGAAGCGGAGTCAATAAGAAACTTACTTTGAACAAGAATCTTCTAGAATTGTGAGCTCACTCAACACATTTTCTATTTAACATTTTCTTATGTTACTTTACTGGCATTGTTTATTTTTTTTTTCAGTTCCTTCAGTGGAAAGGAAGCACGAAAAGTACGAGTAGGACTCACATCCTTTTTCGATAGTTTACTATTGGTCACAGAAACTATGGAGAAATTTGGTCCACCTGAGCCAACATACGGCCATTATTAAACTGATAATATTGAACTTATTAATTGCATTTTGCTGATGTTCTAAAATTATATTCATCATGGAACACACTCCTGCGCCGTATGGTCCCAGAGCTGTGTACGGATACACCATGTATATAGGTTCCAATATGCTTTTCTTATTGTACATGATATGGGCGGTAGTGCCCGACGAGGTGCTGCACAATTACTTGGGCCTGACGTACTGGCCCTCGAAATATTGGGCAGTAGCGATTCCTATATGGGCGTTGACCGCTTTAGCCACATTTGCGTTTCTCATTTATCCAGCTGTCAACATGATGATAACACCAGACCCTGATGATATTCGAACCATTACCGATAAATACGCTCAAGAGAGAAGCGATACCATTCCGGGTGGAATACCAGCTGTATCGGACATTCCTATTACGGAAGTTTGTAGGAATTTATATTTGAAAAAGCACATTTTATGATTTATATATATATTAGCGATGCTAATAAAATAATTCTTCCATCTTTTGAAAAAAATTTGTAGAAAATGTTTCAACACAAATGTGCCGCCAGTTTGTTAGTATAATTATAAATTGCCAGAAATAAAATTCTCAAGGAGAGATACATATTTTATTAACATCTTAACATTTGTATTGATAAGTATATGACTACTTATGCAGTGTCCTGTAAGAAAATAATTCTAAGTTGAGAGAAGACATTTGATCACGATAACATATTTGTTGCGAGAAGAACGAAAACAAAGATTTCTCTTATGGACATACATACATGCATGTGTGTGTGTATCTTTGTATTCATTTCTAACCTATAATGAGAAATTTTGTTTTGGAAGAAACTCCACGTAAGGAGAGAGACGGAAATGATGACGAGGACAAGTGTTTTGTACTCGGTACTCAGAATAATTGCTCTCGCAAGATTGTAGATTTGCGACAATTGTTAAACGATAAATTCAACAAAAATGAAATATTCTGTAGCTTTGAGATTGTTTCCCAGAGGAAGCCCGCTATATTTTATCAAAGGTCTGTACACAACATACAAATCTTAAGCAACATAATATACCATGAGTAATTACTTTTTTATAATTAAGAAATTAATTTGTAATGTACATAATGTCAGAACGTAAAAACAATACATAAGAAAATTTAAATTTTAAAACGTGTGTAGACTACTCGCAGACATGGATAAATATTTACCGCTTTTTTACTCATTAACGTGGCATGACAAAGCAGTTTCGAACGACGATTATTTGCCTTTAAATGTGGCAAAAAGCTTATCATCGAACACGCTCTTGCATCTAACCGCCAAGGGCTTCAAACGCAACCAAATTATTCAAATCTTAAGGAAGGCCCTCGATCTTGGTATTATTAATATATTTGCACTGCGGGGAGGTAATTTACATCGTTAATTGGCGCTGTTAAATATGTTATTATCTCGAAAATTTTAGATTTGAAAATTGACATCTTCGGTCAAATTGCAGATTCGTTATCCAAAGACGGTGACTTCAATTACGCCGCAGATTTAGTTGCATTCATCAGAGATCAATTTGGCGACACGTTTTGCATATTTGTCGCGGGATATCCACAAACGCACCCAAACTCGCCTTCGAAGGAACGCGATTTGTATTATTTAAAACTAAAAGTAAACATAAATAATTAATTATTATACAGCATTGTTTCAATAATATATAATTAAACGTAGTTTATATACAAAAAATACGTTTTCGTAAGCGAGGAATTTTTTAACGATGCAATTTGTAGGTAGAGACGGGAGCGGATTTTATCATCACGCAAATATGTTTCGAGTCTCAAATTTTTGTGGATTTCGTGAGAGATTGCCGGAGAATTGGAATTGAAATTCCAATCGTTGCTGGAATTTTCACGCCACCGAGTTACGATTGCTTAGAGAAAATGACGTACGTTTGCAAGCTCGACGTTCCGATCGAAATAAAAGCTAATGTGGCGCAAATAAAGAACGACGATGAGGCGGTGAGAAAATATGCAACCGATTTAACGGTGCGATTCATTACGGATGTTATCAGAAGCAAAACTACGTGTGGTTTTCATCTGATTGCGCTGAACAGGTGAAATATATATTACATACTTGGCATTCTAGTTTTGAAAAGGAAACAATAATGTGTCGTAAATGTGTCGTTTGTGTATTTTAGATTATCACAAGTGGCGGATGTATGCAAACATATAGAATTTCTCAAAATGGGATCCAAGGACGCTTAATTTTTGCTGTGATGTATTATTGTTACAATATTACATATACATGTTATATTATATATTGCAATAAAAATTTATTCTAAACCGCGTGCGTGTGTGTAAAAGTATGTAAGATGTGTGCTAATATAATGTAAGGAAGAAAAGCTTCGGCGGGACGGGGCGCTTGCACATCGTGATACGTCACTGCGGATTCTGAAAACGTGCGCGCGCATTTGACGCGTGAACTGTGCGCGCGCACGACAATATCGAAGTGAAAGTGGCGCGACCGCAGTTAGTCGAGTTGGAGCGTCACGGCATCGCGTGGTCGGTCGATTACTCAGTCGGTTGAGCCGAGTCGTTCAGTTCGAGAAGGACGGGATTCTTGCCGCGCACAGGATAACGCATTCAGGAAACGCGTAATGGCACTCTTTCGCTTCACTTCGAAACGCTGTTTGGAGCTTCAAGTAAGTCGTTCGTTTTTTTTTGTTTTTGCGAAAATGAGTTTCGCGCCATTTGCACACTTTCAAAAATTATCAGTCAATTGTTCAACGTCGTTCACGTCGTTCGCAATTAGAAATTTTTTGTATTCGACAGAGAGGACAAAAGGTGTCTTCGCTGATTCTTCGAAAAGCGGATTTGTCTGTGGCGCAAAACGCCGAGGGTACACGACCGAAATCTGATCCGTGTCCGCTGCCACCGGATGGCTGCCGACGTGATTATCGACCGGCTTTGGTTGAACCCTCTTTTATTCGCGTGTTGGGACAAATTAACGAGTTTCCAAATTTGATCGATAGAGAATCGATCGAATTGGCTGCTGTCGATTTTGCAATCACCGACAAACCAAATTTGACCAAATGGCTCCATTTAAACAATGTGACGTGTCTATGTATACGAAAAAAGTGGAGTATAATAGAAACCCTTCAGTGATATGTGTGTGTGTGTGTGAGCGCGCGCGCGCGCGCGCGTGTAGATTTGTGTGGTATACCTTCACTTAGGCACATCGGGAACAGGATTTTCATTGTAGACGGGATCCTCATGGGGGTAGACCTCTGTTTTAAAGAGAAAGAGTAATTATGATTTAACGCGCACACATACAAAACACACACATATACAAAATTATATTGTTTCGAGTTTTATTTTTTATATCTTGTATATAACTTTTTAACAATTTGCAATTTTTTTTTAATCCTTACGTACACGCGGTTTACGTGTCGAAATAAGAAGTTCGATGCCGCATTTCTTGATCAAATCTTCTGTCTCTTTCTCGTATATGGTAAAAAAAATCTCTATCGATCACGTGCAGACTTCAACATTAACATCAAAGTCAAAGTTCTGACGATATAAAGAATTACATAAGACTCTTCCTCTCTCTCTCTCTCTCTATCTCTCTTGTTTCAACCATTAATCAATTCGTGCAAATCGATGCTCCACACTTCGTGAAATTCAAGAATTGCACTTGACGTCATATAAAACATAAATCGCGGACAGATTATTAGCAAATAATGTGTGCGCTAATTAACATACAGTACGCACGCACGCACGCACTTATTGGCGGACAGAAAGTTTTCAGAGAGCTCACGTAGAAATAATCTCGGCTGCATTTTTACGCACAGCCGCTGTGTACAATCTTGAATGTTACTTCGCTTGCTTTCAGAATTAATTATGTTAATTGCGGTAATTCTTGCGTGTAAAGAATTTTTCAACCAAGTGACGTCAATACGAGTAGCTTTGCTATCTCGAGACAGTTTTTGTTCTACTCCGTTTGACCGGTTACGGATACGGTTATACTGTTTTACGAATTTATGCCGTTTGTCTAATAATAGCGACAACCGGAAAATAATCGATTTATCGATCATCATCACGTTGCTTTCACGGTCAAATTTTCCTCGTCTGAATTTTCCTCGTTGCGAAAAAAATCGTTACTATCGCGCGCGCGATTACGCAACGTGCGTGTCCGCACGTGTTCGTGCGTGTGTGCGTGCACGAACTCGAAATCTTAAATACGGTAAATACGGTTTTGTTTCGCCGCTTGTCAACTGACACGCGTTGTGCAACGTGTGACTGCAAAATTCATTACGGAGATTCAGTTTGAATTATCGCGTTCTGAGAATGATAAAAAAAATCGTTTTGAAGAATTACACCCCGTGTGTGATTTCACATTATTATTATTATATTTATACACATATCGCAAAATGTGTGTAGTAGTGGAAATCAAACGCGTATACCCTGTGTATTAAAAAAAAAAAAAACTACTACCGTGACTGATACGTGTTTTGTGTTCTTTAGAAGATGCACTTTTAGGTCGAACGGCATCTTTTAATTGAATTAGGATCGATGTTCTAATTTAAAAAAGAAAAAAAAAAAAAAAAACACGCTAGTTTTCGTACTTGTTTAATGCCATATGTTAGAAACGATAATGATCTGTAGAGTGGTTTGTTCTTTCTTTTGTCCTTTGCGACAATTAACTGGCACCTGTCTCCCCCCCCCCCTCTCCCCCCAATGTCACACGCAACGCACGTAAGCACATCGGTCGCAAAACACACTCGGCACAAGGTAGGTAATACGCACGCGGTGTAAAGAGCGTGTGTGCTTGCTGATTTCGCGAGAATCCTCTTTATCTGGTCGTGTGCAGTAGTTCGCGCTGCTGAGGAGCGGTTCTACAAAACATTGGCTATTTATAGCCGCGATTTCGAGGTCGAAAATCTGTTAGTTAGATCTGTGCTCTTGTAATCCCCGCATCGATCCCCAGATGATGACTAACCTGGTCTCCGATTTTGTTTTTTTCTTGTTTTTCACGAACGACAATTTACTCTCGAGTCGATTGAATTCGTTATCCGATAGCGCGTATTCGGAGAGACCGTAAGATTCCTTATGGTGTCGGTCAAAAATTTCATAATTAATTAATTTTCGTAATTAACAAGACTCCCGAGAGATTACGCGCGGACTTTACCGTCATCACGTCATTCTTGGCTCGGCCATTTCTTTGCCGTGCAATATACATCTCATTTGTTACCTAATACCTAATACCGATGGGTACATGTGTCCCTCGTTGGGGGGGAGGTGAGGTAACTTATTTCAGATGCGATTCTCTTTTTCGTTTTAACTCCTAACACGCTTCTATTATTATTACAGTCTCTATGTCTTCTCGACCTCACTTCGGACGTCAACACGTTTCATTGGCCATTGTGTCTTGCAAGGCAATCTTCTTCCTTTCTTTCTTCTGTATGGGGGATCGTATATCCTCGAAACTCTATAGATGAGAGAAGAAATTTGTTCACGGCACAAAATACACAAAAACACCTTTTGTGACGCCGATTATTTTCTGCGTCAAATATACAATAGACGTTAAATAATATCTAAATATATAGATAATATTAATAATTTAAATATCAATTTAAATAATAATATTTAAATAGATATTTTCTATCTATTTTCTATCTATTATTTTATATCTATTTAAATAATAATATTTAAATAGATATTTTCAAAGAGATTTCGAAACAATATCTCACCGAAAATAACAATATTCACGTAAATATATCTTGGAATATCTTTAAGAATATATTACAAAGGATTCCTTTGCGTTCTTAATGACGCAAAAGTATGCGAAGCTCGAGTGTTATTGAAAAAAAAATAACACACAGGCGATAAATAAAATTGCAAATATTTCTATTTACTTTTGAGAATCCGCGGATTATTTCTGAGCAGCAGCCAGCGAACTAACAGCGAGTTCACTATTTTGGAACACGTCCTCAGTCACGGTTATGTCACAGTTTTAAAATTAAAATGCTTAGAGAATGTATGAGAGAGCCGTAAACAAATCGGTCATTACGTTTCTCGCTCTTAAAATTGAAAGTCCGTGAAAATGTATTTGCTTATTGATCATTTTGGTGGTTATTTAAAAATGCTTAGTTCGTTAGCTTAACAAATCTGTGCAATTTCGCAAAATCTCCGGCTCGATCTAACCCTAATCTTCAACTTTGCAACTGCAAATATCAACGCGCCGATAACACAATAATGTTATCTTACCTTTTTAGCGCGCATGTGTTTGATATATTGGACACACATGTTCGTCAGTAAATTTTATAAAAATTTACTGCTCTTGCGATAAAAACTGTTGCTTTTTCGTAACGGAATGATTACGTTTGGGACGAAAATAATCGATAAATTTGTTAAGCCCGTTGCTTGTCGAAAAATACGTTATCAAGAAATCAACGAATTCGAAGGAATTACCTCCGAAATGATTTTAAATAAATAATACATAACTTATCGATGTTACATCACTACTATTTCTTATATTAATTCATTTTTTTTTTATTAGTTTTTTTTTACCGATGAGAATCTAATATTTATATATTATCTAAGATCAAAACGTATATAAAACATGATCACTTTTTTTAAGAGATAGAGAAAATAAAATGTTTGCGCGCAATTAATCAAAATAATTTGAGAACCGCCGATCGAGAAATCTCTATTCGCGAGTCAATCGATAATTGTTTTATCATATCGAATTATATGCATTGCATATGGCGTGCGCGATAAAGAACGATATCATTGCATATCTCGCAATTTAATCCGCGTACGAATCTCGCGTTGCATACAGAGCGTGATATACCGCTCGCATTTCGCACGCATTATGCAATTCTTCGAACAGACAGATTTGTTTGAGTTGAATGCGCGAGTTGATTTGCGAGTATTACAACGTTAAATTATTCGTTAACATTAAAAATATTTATCAAATCGTCGTAAATATACGTATATCCATATATATATACTCGTGCGTTAATTAACACAATTGCTATCGGAGTTTAATGGGTTAACCGCATTTCGACGGGTTAATCGAATTTGCTCGGTGAATACAATTGAATCCGAAAGACCTCGAGATCTTCCAATGATGCGTGATCGGTCAACCAATCCGCGACTCTTCCAATCCAGGAGTTCGTGGATTATCAGATCTTGATAAATCGATAAGTGTTTTTTTCATTCGGAAAACGAAAGATAAAAATCTCGGGTTCGGTATCTCTGATACGTTTTACATACTCGAATAAAATTTAATTTTGTTAATCCGTTATTTCCGCCAGATCAAAGTTAAGAGAGAGAGAGCTAGCTAAATATATATTAGGTCATTTACTTTGACATTGTAATTCGCGCTTTATATTCGCGATACGATTTTCGGTCATGCGAATCACAAGTCATCGTTTTATTTTTAACCGCAACCAAGGACGAGTTTTATAGTTTCACGTCGCTATTAAAGTACGGTATTCCTGTTTGTGACTTGTTTTTTTTTTGTTTTTTAAATGATAAGAACTTTATCATGGACGCATATTTTCCACGTTTCTTGTATTTTTTTTTTTAAATAAAATTTATATTTGCACGTAAAAAAGCTACGCAAAGCGTAAAAAAAGGAAGAGAAACGTGCAAAATATTTCGAACACTGTGCAAGTTTCGATGGAGCGCTTCTAAAATTATTCGCACGAGTAAAGATCTACACGATAGATCAATCGGATACTCCGTTGAGGGGACACTTCCTTTAATCGCGTAAAAACAAAAGGGTCAAGGTTGTTTCTGCGAATTGCAGTTTGAAGTTGTTCGCGTGCTCTCAAACTTCTTTGCTGTGTGCCACATATAACGGCGCTTACTCTATCATATTTACGTAAAACTAATGAGCGCGCTATCAGGCGAACGATAACAACCGCGCATTATGTGCGACAAGAAATGATCTTTGTACTTCGAATTCAAAAGTTTAGTAAACGGCAAATGAAGAACCAATGGGATAGGTATTGGTTCTTCATTTTTCGTTTAACTTCCGAATTTCGATTCACCGTCACGAAACCAGAAGTCGCACTCCTTACGTCACATTATTTGTACTACGAACTCAAGATACGAAAAAAGATAACGCGACACGTAGAGAAACTTTGTTTCTTCTTTATACAGCTGATTTACGCGTCTGACAAAGAAACGAGGACAGGCTTGTGAAAAATTTAAACAAAACAAAATATTATCTTCCCGTTAACAGAACGTGTTGCAACGTTATCGCGCTATTGTCTTTAATCGCTATGTAAATTTTTGTCTGAATATTTAAAAAAAACAATCACTAAATATGCATATTGTATTGGTAAGCTTTTGTATTTGTAAGCTTGGAGTTTATTTCAATCACATTTGCGGCCCGAAAGGATCTCGTCGCTTTATTGAAATCAAATAGTTATTAAATTATCGTCAAATATAAATTTATTATTGAAATACAGTCAATTAACTGCTTATATCGATTTGTGTGCGTGGTCTAATTATTAATTAACAGTGTCGCCAGAGATGTACCACACGCAATGTCACATTTCATTTCTTCTGCTTTCAATTACGTTGAAATAAAAGTTTCATCTTTGCAATTATCTCGCACGAGGAAACTTCGACGTTGTCACAAGTTCGCAAGATAAAGATCGGCCACAAATGCGTGACGCTTCGGGTGTCTCGTTCATTCATAAAAAAAATCACACGATCAACCGTCGTCTCCTTGACCTTTATATCTAAAAATGTGACAAAACCGAAGTCACGAAGACGGTCAGTGTTCACGTGTGCGCGAGCGAACAACACACACACACACACACACACAATGACGTATCTCCTACGCCACATTCCGATTGTGTGTGTGACAGAATTCTAGTCCACAGTCATCGTTTATTCTTTTCGTTCAACATCATCAATTGCTATTAGTGTACATATATACTCCGGAGCGCGCGCATCTCTCACGACACTTAATTTTATTAGAAATTTAGTCAAGATGTCAACGTCACGCAAAAGCCTCATTTGTCAAAAGTCACGATTGCGATCTTGCTCTCTCGAGAGCTTGGAAATTTTTTATTTCGCTAAAAGAAATGATATTGACAAATTGAAACTTTTATCTTTTTAAATTTGAAAAGAAAACGATTTAAAAATAAATAAGTTAGACACCTTCCAGCCTTCGAACTAAGGATCGCAGTATCTTTTTGAATTTTATCTTTTTGAAGGACGATATAAATATAGTTATTTCCCGACGCACACACACACGAGACAAACGAGCGTCCTTAATTCTCTCCGTTTCCGCGGTACGTTTGTGACAATGACCTTCGCACGAGATCTTGCGTAAACCTCTTCTTATCGGAATTTTTTCATGGCATTCGACGATGCGTGTCGAGATGATGGTTCATTATGAAGTTTTTTTTTTTTTTTATTTCGTAATAAAAGATCGAGAGTGTTAGTTTAGGCGAATAGAAGGCAATAACTGCGGCGTTAACTTCCGAGTTAAAAAAAATAAAAAAAAATCGTCTCTCAGCGAGACAATAATTGATTCGATTGACAAATGTGCGAGAAGAAATGTAAAGATTGTTACGCAATTTAATTTTTTTTCGAGCTCTTCTGATTTGTTCTCAATCAAATTTCTAACGTGCGTTTGAGAAACGCGCAACAAGATCAAAATGCAAAATATTATACAAGTGACATTTTTCTTCAAAAATGTAAACAACTCGCGCCCTTTGTTTCATATTGTTACGTAATTCGCGTAGACGCGTCAGTTTAACAAATTGCACAGCGATTACGTGAAAAAGTTGCGTTTATGATGTGAGATTGCTTCCTGCAATTGTAAAGCTATAAAAAGTGTAATTTATATCGGCGTAAGAGAGAGGACGCACTTGCGCGTGCGTTCATTGTTGACAGTTCATCGTTGATCGTTATACGGTTTGTCCTCTTTACGTAATACAGATACGTAAGACGATGTTGTAAAACACATTCGTACACATCGAGCATTACAAAAAAAAGAAAATAGGACAGAGAAAAAACCGTACGCGCGCACTTTTTTGCACCTTATTCTTAGCGGCGTTACCTTAAAATCGTGTGATTTTTTTTTCAGAAGATAACGTCGACGGTATTCCTGCGACAGCTGACGGATGCGTCCACAGATCTCAAAAAGGTTCTCACCGACAAAGTTCCGAAGGAGCAGGAGCGTGTCAAAGCTTTCCGTAAGGCGCATGGATCCACGAAAGTCGGAGAAGTCACCGTGGACATGGTACGGCGTTTGTGCGAATTAAAAAATAAGAAGAACTCGCGCGATATCGCAAAAAAAAAAAAATGAAATGTAAAATAATTTTATTTAACTTCTTGCTCCGATTCCGCGTCAGTTAGGTAATTAACAATAATGTCATATATAGTTCAAAAATGTGTCACGTATATAGTTCTCGTGAATTTTAACGATCGTCGATTGAATCTTGTCGAAAGGGGACGACCCGACCGGACATGGCGTGGACGTGAGATATATTTTGCCATTCGGACGATACGCGCGGTCCGATAAGAAACGTGGAATGATCGCGGACCGCGTGCCTACTATGTGATCATGATATAACGAACAACATTTTTTCTATCTGTTCACGCAAGTTTCTTGCAGCATCAATGAATCACGTTTCATTTTTAAGCGATTATCAACTGCGGCGATTAATCGTCATCAAATAATCGTCTGATTTCTTATGACTCGTCACTCGTGTCATTAATTATATTTTGACGTTCTCTCTAAAAATTTGGAATCTATTCTTCCGTGTAGATATAAACACAATAATAATAAAAAAAAATGGTAGAAATATATAAATATTTTGGTATAATTTATTTTTCTGTAGATGTACGGTGGTATGCGCGGCATCAAAGGTCTCGTGTGGGAGCCGTCGGTGCTCGATCCGGAAGAGGGTATTCGTTTCCGCGGCAAATCGATTCCCGAGTGTCAGAAACTGTTGCCGAAAGCGGCCGGTGGCGCGGAACCACTCCCAGAGGGTTTGTTCTGGCTGCTGATCACTGGCGACGTGCCCACGGACGCGCAAGTTAAGGCCATCTCTCGGGAATGGGCGTCCAGAAGCTCGTTGCCCGATCATGTTGTCAAGGCTCTCAACAACTTCCCGAAGTCCTTGCATCCGATGACGCAGTTCTCCGCGGCTATCACGTTGTTGAACAGCGAGAGCGAGTTCGTCAAGGCGTACAACAAGGGCGTGCACAAGAGCAAATATTGGGAGACCGTTTACGAGGACTCGATGAATCTAATCGCCAAATTGCCGGTAGTGGCTGCGACTATTTATCGCAATATTTACAAGGGTGGCAAGGGACTGGGTTCGGTCGACGCCGGCAAGGATTGGTCCTGGAATTTCTCCAACATGCTCGGTTACGATAATCCGCAATTTATCGAACTAATGCGCCTTTACTTGACAATACATTCTGACCACGAGGGCGGTAACGTATCCGCTCACACCACTCATTTAGTAGGATCCGCCTTGTCGGATCCGTATCTGTCGTTCGCCGCCGGTATGAACGGTCTGGCCGGACCGTTGCACGGCCTGGCCAATCAGGAGGTGCTGGTGTGGCTGGAGAAACTGCGCGGCCAAGTCGGCGACAGCCCGAGCGACGACAAGCTCAAAGAATTCATTTGGAACACGCTTAAGAGCGGCCAAGTTGTACCCGGTTATGGACACGCTGTTTTGAGAAAGACCGATCCGAGATACACGTGTCAGAGAGAGTTCGCGTTAAAACACTTGCCGGACGATCCGTTATTCAAGGTAAGATTGAGTTTTATCGATTTGTTTAAATAAAGTTCAAAAATTAGAATTTCGTTTCGCGTGAAATAATTTAAGACGCTGATATTTGTGCAATAATTATATTGTCTTACATATAATAATTAGAATGTGATAAAATAAACAAATACAATCAATCGATCTTTTTTTTTTGTTTTGCAGTTGGTCGCGCAAGTGTACAAGGTAGTACCTCCCATTCTCTTGGAGACTGGCAAGGTGAAGAACCCGTGGCCGAATGTGGACGCGCACTCGGGAGTGTTGTTGCAATATTACGGCATGAAAGAGATGAATTATTACACGGTACTGTTTGGAGTGTCGCGTGCATTGGGTGTGCTCGCATCTTTGGTCTGGGATCGCGCCTTAGGACTGCCCATCGAGAGGCCCAAGTCGCTCAGCACCGATCTCCTCATGAAAGCCGTCAAAGCTTAAAAACATATTATTCTCATTCATCAGATCTATTCGACGACCGATTATTAGCGTTATATTGGAGTGTTCGTTGACTTCGACATTGTTCAAGTGTTGACAGAGTGACGCTAGAATTTCTTTGTCAATATAGATACCATTTTTTGATACGGACCTTGTAACGAAGTCGCTACAACGAACCCGCGCCTTGTCAAACGAGCAAGAACGCTAATGAAAACGATGCAAGAGTTGAGAGAATGAAAGAAAGAAAGAAAAAGAAAATACACAAAAGAAATAGATAGATATTAGAAAAACGACATATAATTTCATTATTATGAATTTAAATGTAGAATCGCGCTAAGTGCAAAATATCAATTAAAATTGCATTATTTCTACTTTCTGTTCTTTCTCTTTCTCTCTCTTTGTCCTATCGATATTTTTAAATATACTTTTAAGTATAACGACAAAACAGACGTATTAATTGAATTCAGGTAATAATGTGGTTATATAATTACTACGGCTGTTACAAGTTGCTGGTACTTAAAAGACGCGGATCGTGTTAAAAAAAAAAAAAAGCGCAATTACAATTTTCGTAACGTTATCGGAACTTTTTATTTATACAGAAACATAGATATAAAAAATATCAGAAAAAAAAACAATTAAATCCTCAAGAGAACCAGAAAAGAGCGCAAAAATAGGCGCGAAAGAATTTTGAAATATGTCTAAACATATTTTTTAGACATTTAAATACTAGAAGTTTTTTAGATGCCAAGTATTAAGATTTTGTAAACGCGAGATATAAGACATCTTAAGTGTCTTGGGATTTAGAAAATACACGTGCACACACACACACACACATACATACATACATACACACACACACAAAATAGAAAATATACGAAAGCTAAGTTAGGAGTTAGCCATTATTGTAAATACAGTCATCGCTCAATACTCAGTAACACATTGACTATTGATCTAAAAATATTTAGAGAAACAAGTTTCGAATATGCATTAGAATAATTTGAGACTATGTATTTTGCAGCAATAGTCAACGTTTTAGCGGTACCAAGACAGAAAAAATAGCGATTTGACATTTGCAATGGCAAAATTACAAATGAAACCTTGACGTCAGTGTTCAAAAAATATCGGACACATCTGAAGACAATATATAACGTAGATAAAATACTTTTCAGATGACTTCTTTAGCATTCGAAGTAATTGAGAAAATATAGAAGTGTATTTTTATTGTTGTCTCATCTAATCATCCGAGAGATACACTGCCTGGAAGAGTATCATTAGATTTTTTTCTTTTATTTTATCGAGTCTTATCGAGAACAACAGAAACGCAATTATAAAACTGTTTAGGGAGTTTTAGGATACAGCAATAAAAACGAAAAGTCGGAAAGTCACTGAAACGCAAATATACGCGGTATATTAGTTCATAGAGTTTTTAGCCGCTTATTTTACTTTCTATAGAAAGTTCATTGTAATTATCTTGCAAAATGATCTATAAACTTGAAATTAACCAATTATACTTTCTCGTCGCGAATGGCCGACACGGTTTACTTACTTAGTTAGTTATGGCGAATGTTCTGATTCACATGTAAAATCAAGAAACATGATCAGTAAGTGCACTATGTAAGAATGAATGAGAGCGTGTGCTTAGCTTATTTATAATTAAACGTAAAAATAAATAGATAACTAATATTAATCAGCTTTGGAGTCTTTTTTTTTCATAACTCTTCAAGACACACTTTCTGTTAAACAAAAACTATATAAAGCTTATACATTACATACAGATAATAAAGATTTATAAACATCGTAAAAGGTTAGTATTGTAGTGGAAGAAAAACTGTAGCAAATTTTCTTACTGAAAGAAAATGATTTTAATTTATTTGACATCGCATACTTTTTTTAGCTTGTTATTATTTAAAATTGTACACACAGATTCCCTGTAGCTTATATATATATATATTATACAATATATATTATTATATAGATAAAGAGACCCCGATAAATCGGCTTTTTTTATCGTCACTTTGGTTGATTCGATAGGAGTCGGACCGTGTAAAGAACTCGCAAGATCATATATGTACACTTTTTTTATGCGTACACTCGCTCCGTGAACATTGATAAGATAAAACAACCTATGTCTTGTACTTTGCATTCCATACATTTTTTACACAAATTACAATAACAAAAGAAAGAGCAGACGGATATGTCCGTAAACAAATTAGACGAGCAAAAATTTGACACATTGTATATAAAATTATTATTTCAAGGAGTAGAGATAACATATGTATTACATATACATATAAGAGATACAACTTTTATGTTATCGACATTCACGCATTTGTTCCTCAATATGAGAAAGCAAGCGTTTATCATTTTTTTTTTTTTTTTTTTTTTTTTTTTTTTTTTTTTTACGTGGCTTTTAATAGGCCATCTTTAAATCGCCATATATTTCAATGTCCGGAATACGAATAATCTTCCACTTTAAAGGACACTTCGAAAAGATATATATGGACAATTCAGACCAGAAAAGAGGAAACTATCACTAAAGGGTTTTCATTAGAATCTCACTCTGATATTAGACGGCATCCTTTGCGCGGTGAAGTTAATAACTCCTTCCTCTATATATATATACTATATATATATAATTTATATATAATATATATACATTTATATATATATATATATATACATATTATATTATATTATATATTATTATATTATATTATATTGTATATAATTTAT